CCTTTTTATTGAAAGGTAACACAAAGGCAGACTGATTGCAATAGGCGTTATTTTCATTTTTAAGTGGCAAACACTGCACCTTTATTATTGAAACTTAAATATGCAATTCAGTTGTTAGAGACATCCATACTCAACTTTGGTGACGGTTTATTGGAAAGCTTTAAGAAATTAAGTTTATAGTACATTTGAGGAACATAAAATTAACGATATTAATTTCTTAAGCATTCTGAATTACACTATGATCTTCTGAATCTTAAATACTGTCCATCCAAAGCTGTATATGCCTCTCTTATGACCCTTAAAACACAAACTTTTCTGTTTCCCCGACCTAGTTTACCAAAACGCCATAGAATATACTGTCGGTAAGCAGCCTTTCGAAAGCTATTAGATGCATAATCAGGCTCTTCTACCTCTCACACACGCCTGAAGTTGAATGGGACTCTCGACACTTTGAAAAAACGTGTCCTCTACTATGATACTGACAGCGTGATCTACAAATGGAAACTAGGGCAATTGGCTTTACCGTTGGGCGAATTTTTAGGTCAATTTACGGACGAACTGGGTGGCGATCCGATTGTGGAGTTTGTGAGCGGCGCCGCAAAGAACTATGGGTACCTGACTCGCAGCGGTAAGACCGAGTGCAAAGCGTGTGGTTTTTCCTTGAACCATGCGGGGCTTTAAACATTCAATTACCACATGATGAAAGCCAACATCAAGATCAACGTCGTAGCATGGAGATTGTCACCCCCAATTTCTTCGAATGCGATCAGACCACCAAGCATATTTGCCTAATTGAATGTGTGAAAAAGTATGGTCTGGTCTTCGACAAACGCATCATCGATCGCGCTACACGTGTCATACCCTTATGGCTACTACTGGTTTGTCGACGATGTTGAACTTTTGCTTTCCTTATAGTCTATTAGGTGTGGGATGAGATTGCCTGGTGGCATCCATCCCCCGAAGAAAGAACATTTTGCATGCTTTTTTTGAACAACATAGGTTAAGTCAACTTTGTAACATGTCATCGACAGGGAGGTGACATGGTAGAATAAACTAAGTCACGACTCTTAGAACGTTGCATGTTGGTCTCTGACTATAAATAGAGGGGTGATCTAAAGATTGAATTCATTCGGACACCATGTCGAATATTTACGTGAACCCTCATAAGTGATGTGACTAGTGACTATGCTAGTAATGTCGCTTATCAATTTAAAGTCAAACCCTAGTTAATGTTACCAGGACGAGGATGGAAAGGTGTTGATTGCTTCAGCTCTTCTCCCTAAAATGGCTTTATTCAAAGACTTACAAAGTGCTAATGTCAATTTGATTGAATTATGGTATGAAGCAGAAAAAGTAGGTCAATCCGATGTGTGGAAAAAAGGCCATATTCATGCGACTGATTTGTGTGAATGGTAGAAAGCAGCAGCCTGTCACGAAGGGGTGGATTTTTTATTACGGTGAAACATAGGATAGAAGAAACAGCGCACGCTAGTTTGGTTACAACTTGAAAACGGCCAAAGACCTGGCCCTTTAGAAGCTGCTACCCTAAAACATTTTGAGTGCGCTGAGCAGCAAAAGGATGGCTACATAATGCGTGTTCCCGCCCACAAGAATGTGCGGTCGGGCCCAGCACCCTTGCATCCGTGTAACAGCCTTTACAACAACATCAAGGCTTACATAACACATGTACGACCACTGTTTGCAGCCGAAGATGTAGACAACGTGTTTGTGAAGTGCAGTGGTAAGGGCTTCCAAGATGGAAAAATTTGCCGGCGAGTAACAGAATGGTGACAAAATGCGAAGAACATCCAAGTTTGCAGCACAAGAATGCGTAAGATGGCAGCGTCTACCCTGCACCGAACTGAGGATACAGACAATGTGCAGTGCACATTCTAATAGGGACCTTAAGATACCCTGGACGCGGCGGTAAAGAGAACGGAGAAAGCCTGGAGAGAGGACGCCGCCACCTTCGGGGGAAAAACAAATTAAGATTGAGCAGGTTGGGTTGAGTGCTCGCCTGACGAGAGAGGATAAAGTAATGCTTTCGTGTTTTAATTTCATGACTTTCAGAAAGACTCGTGAAGTCTTCCTTGATTGATACCTTAACGATCTTTTATTGGAGGAAAAATAGGTGAAAGGTGTTGACAGGCCAAACACGACTCATAAGCTTTTGATAGTGTGATACGTGACCTTACAGTTTAGCTCTAACGAGGATATCTCCCAGCGATTTTGCTCTTTTATATGAAATGATGGGAGGCTCGTTGTATATTTCTCTCAATAGTGGTTGATCTTGAANCTAAAATTGTATGGTTTTCGATTTTCAAATAAACTTCGACAAACAAAGAAAACTGCAAAGGAAAACCTCACCTTGGGGACTCTTCAGGAACGTCAAGTTCGGTATTTTCTTCTCCAATCATGCTCTAATTATTCGCCACTACTACAACCAATATGGCTTCATGACACACCATTGGAAAGCTTGTGAGCCGAACAAGTTGAAAATGCCCGCCTGTAAGCTGTATTTGGTACCAGGTCCCAGAAAAACTGCCTTTTTGCAGCCCCCCTTGAAATGGCCAGCAGACCCAGAGCCCTTTGCGCGCTTGTTTGGCCGCCATCTTGAAATTTTTTCCCAAATTGTGATGAAACATTTAGGGGGTGGTTTGGCGCCTACATGAATTAACCCTCCATATTGTTTGACTGAATGATCGACTGCACGTTTTGGTTTTTTACATTCAAACATCTCTTTCTCTAACGCTTTCATGTTTGTTTTTCGCCTCCGCTTCAAGTTTTCTTTTTATATTTTTATATTTTTCCGTGCATTGTTTTGGTTTTAAGGGATTAAGTGAAAATGTTGCCCGCACGAAACTTGCAGCGCTGTACAGCGCCACAAAATCGCTTCATAATAGCTGTACAGCTAAATTACAGCTGTTCAGCAGCTTTTTAGAAGCCAAACAGCAGCTTCATTCAAGTTGCAGCGGGCTGCAGTAACGCTACAATTCAGCTGCGGTCGATCTGACTTTCTTGAGCACCAATAACATGAATCGCCAGATAAAGCCTTGGCACAGATTATGGCTTTTATAACGCGAAAACTTTGACTGTACCTCTAAGAAATGTGAGTAAGCTTGTGCGCAGGGAAGATCACTCATTGAATAAACCTCCAAATTCTATGCTTTCAATAAATCTTAATTCCGTGACCGGCGAGTGTGGGAATGTTATCGCTAATTCCCTGGAGACATTCTAGGCCATAATCTAATTGGTCGGTCCTTTTGCAAGAGATCCCATTACAACTCTAGACAAACACGGGATCGCTCAAACATTTGCGACCGTTGAATGAAAGGCGCAAACATTCTAAGTTTTTTCATCTAGTTCTGTTTCGAGATGGAAGTTCTGTTGAAGTTTTTGGAGGGAACAGCTCAAACGTATTTGCAAACAACGCACTGAACAGTGACTTCTACGCTAAGGTCATGAAAGAATTCAAGTTGAATTAGTTTTGTGTTTCCGAACCACGCGGTAGCTCGTTTAGAATCAAACGTTGTATAGAATTACGCTACTAGTTTGCGATATTTGAATTTATGTTTTGCCATGTTTGCGCACGGTAGCCTCTATGAGAAGTAATGATGTTGTGTTTTCTTCTTGTAGACAAACACTGCGTGATCTTAGATGTCTTCCTCTGTGCCCCTACACAGATTGGGTCTTTAACAACATTGAATGCCATTGCGATATTCATTTGGGAACTCTAAGATTATTAATAGACGATTTCATAAATTTTATGAATTATCGCGAATTTAATCCTGTCAGAGCATTATACAATTTTGAACAAGTCTACAGAAATATTCCGTTTGCCGAGTTTTTATTGTTCCCCAATATCACCGAAGAAGATTTAGCACAAAATCAGTGAGGAGAAGAAATCAGCATTGTAAAAGTTATTAACTGAGTGAAACATTATTGACTTGGGAAAAGGGCAAACAAAGGAGCTAGGAAGAACGTGCAGTCGAACATTCGCGGGTTAATTACCTAAACAATACCAAGATGGCACTTAATCCCCTGAATGGAAAACAAGATGGCCACTTACTCACTTAATAGGAAGCACCCGTACGAAACAAGCAGCGCTGCTGCAGCGCTGCAGAATGGCTTCAAGAAGCGCTACAAAAGAGCTGTAAAAGCGCTGGGCTGCAGCAGCCGCAAATTTTGGCTGCAGTGGAAAGCCCTTTGACAGCGATAAACAGCGCTTTTGCAGCGGTGCCGAAAATTCCCGAATCACGATCTGTGCTGCAAAGTGGCTGCAAAGTGGCTTCGAAAAGACAAAGAATGTTTTACCGGTTATAGACTAACACTCGTTAGTACAAAAAAAAGAAATGCAGGCTCCAATGATACAATAATCGTGATACGTGGTAGAGGAGTTGACAGGCCTTAGTAGCGGAGTAAAAACCACTAGAAAGTCAAAATGCAACTTACACTTTATTAGTATCCACGCGTACACGCTACAAAAGCACGTGACATTGAACAAATCTGCAACAGTCTCGCTTTGTAAATATTTAGCAATCACGGTCACTCATCTAAATGTAAGAACATCCGTTATTATGCAGACATTGGAAATTATCTTTTTTAACACATCGTTTAAAAAATGACTCTGTCTGGTCATACGTCCCCTCATGTTTATTTCTTTCTTCGTGTTGGTTGGCGTCTCCTCCTTTTATACTTCTTTTTCTCTAACACTTGGATTGCTTTCCTAGTGCCATAATTCGTCAATGCACTTAAACCTCCTATCGCTGCGGCTTTTCCTCCAGCCACTAAAGCTGGAATCGCTGTGGCTAACATAGGAGCAATCCCTCCTCGTTGCCTTCCTACCCCCGGTTTACCTTTTCCTCTTTTTGGTTGTCCTTTTCGTTTCATGTTTGGATTTGCGCTTGTTTGAAAGTGAGCGACTATTTTTATCTTCGTCGAAGGTATGAACGCGTGTTGTTCCCTCTGCTTTTGTTAAATGACTCCAAATGCGAAAACAGTCATCCGAGGCAGGATGTAAATCCAACATAAAATACCCAAAAAGACGGGAGGTCAGCTTTAAAAACAATTTGAGAACGCCATTTTTCAGGGTACACCTGGAGCAGTAAATGTCGAATGCCTGTCTTATCCCGGGGCGATTTAAAACAAATCACATAGTGTGCGTTGCGGTTAATTGTTTTCGCAAACTTGCCCGGTGGAAAAAGATCTTGTGTAATATAAAGAGCGGTAATACCTCGATGGTGAGAATCTTTCGTAAATAAATCCAAGACGCATTTATCATTGCCAGATTCTTCCATTAAATCATCCAAAATGAGTATACCATGATGTTCAGGTTTAAACCATTTAACAAGAGCCCCTTCGGGAGGTAGACCTTTGTATAAATGAACGTGTTTTTTCATGCGATCAAATCGGGGTTGCCATCGATCGTAACAATACACTACTTTTTTCGGAGGAGGATCAAACAACGTTTTTTCTTTGAGCCATTTTTCCACTAATTCGCTTTTACCACTGCCTGAGGGGCCAGCAATAATCACGCTAGCGGGTTGTCGAATCATTTTCGACGTCTGTAATGTTGTACGTTATCTTTTATACCTTACAGCGCTTGTTTCCCTAAAAAGGTCCCTAATTTGATAAAACTAGGAGAAGGACCGGACAACCCCATGGCGACTCCCTCGGCTATTTTATCCACCACGCGTGGTTTTCGTCTAAATCGTGCACCCCCTTTTTGACTTTTTCGTTTTTTGACTCGACGTTTTCGTGTTCGCCCCATACAGTGATTGATACAGCCGCAGTGAGTTAAACTGAATGAGTATAAGTATCTGATCTCTTAAATGTGTTTCACCTATTCCTTTTATATGATTTTTTAAGTCCTCCCACATCTTAGCTTGCACTACACATCGCACAAAATGCCAATGATACCCATCCCACAGATCCGCTGGATCAAGACAGAGTCTGATCCATTCTAGTTTGTGGTCTTCCCAATAAGACCATTCTTTTTCTAACAGTGCATTGAGCACTTTTTGAACATCACCCCGTAGTATTATGATAGAAATAAAACCACACCAACATGCGTTACACATTTTTATTAATTAATGAAAAAAGAAGAACGGTTTACATTAGATTGCTCATACTCTGTCAGCTCTGTTTTAATGAGACGTTGCAGTTGGTCTGTGACTCGCCTATCATTTAACACTAAATTATTGGAATGCCACTGAGCTAAAAAATCTTGAAAAGACACATATCTGGCTTTTGCTTTTAAAAAGAAAAGGGCATAATGCCCGCACGTAAAACTATCCATGGCTTGTAAAGGCTGATCACTGCTAATGATTTCTTTCCACTGGTTCAACCAAGCTTGTAAGGTAGGGTTTTTGTAGGTAGATAGTGGTAACCCATAACTGTCAAAGACTTCACAGGTAGTGTGATTCGTCATGGTCATGTTCACCCGGTTGACTAGCTGGATCCGTGTTAACAATGTAAGCATTCACTCGTTTCTTAGACACGGGAGGTAATTGGTCTACAGGAAACATGCCACGAAAATAGGGTCGTAATTCGCGATCGTCTTCTGCTAAGTAATTGAGGACTGTATCACTAAGAGGTACGAACTCCATCCTAGCTGTTGATGGAATGTATATTTTTGTTTGTTCGTAGAAAAACCCTTATGAATATTACAATGTTAAGAGATGTCGACTGGCCTCTACATTTTCAATTATTTCTTGTAAAATTTTCCTCTATAGAATGACCTTAAAAATTGTTGAAGCATACAAATTCCAGGTAACAATGGATGGCTCAAGATTAACATGGAAAGGTCAACAATTAAATTTTCAGAAAGAACGTTCTTCTATAGTTCAATTGTATTGTAGATCTGCGGGGTTTTTGGTTGAACAGCATAATTAATGAAAGTGACTTTGATCTGTTATTTTTTTTATAGAAAATCGCTGTTTGAACTGAAATCTCTCCGTTGCTGCCCTTTCACTCTTTGGGCCTACCGTTATGTGAAGTGCCATTGCGATTGCCGTTTTGGCATTTTTAATCTTGTAATCGCCGATTGGATAAAATTCCAAAACTATGAAGACTTTGATCCCATTGAGGCAAACAATCAGTTTATTCGGACCTATAATGCTATCCCCGATAGAAATGTTTTATTCCAAAACATTAACGAGTTTCCAGAGGAACTACAACTATCTTAGAAGAAATGAAAGAAAGATCATGGTGTCAATTTACACTGTGGACAAAAACAACAAAGGATGATTTGTGTGGACATTGTATTCGCATTGTCAGTTCAAAGCTACGTATTGAAGACATTACAGATGCAGGATACTGGAAATATATGACTACAACAGCTCAAATGGAGCAAAAATGTTTGATGTTATATCCACGTGTATTTTTTTAATTTGGGGCAAGTCATACTAGATGACTGACACGTCCCGTTTGTATTTTAAGTTCGCAAATAAAGAAAGTGCATTGTAAAATAACTGTGAAAAGTTATTGACTTGGGAGAAAGCGAAAACAACATGAAATAAATGGTGTAGGGACAAGAGGGAAAAAAAACATGACATAATTGTTGTAGGGAAATAGCGAAAACAACATGAAATAAATGTTGTAGGGAAATAGCAAAAACAACATGAAATAAATGTTGTCGGAAAAGCAGGAAAATAAGTGTGTTTGCTTGAAGCGGGAAAAACAGCTATAACGAATATTAAAAAAAACGTGCAGTTTATCACGAATAAAAAATCCAAGGGCAACTGATTTCTACGCTGTTCCCACCAAAACGGAGTCCGCGATCCAGACCTTATGGAATGCCAATCACATTAACAAATACCACCACTGCGAGATGTATACACATTCCAAGTCCCAGTTTACCCGGGATTTTAATTTAACGAAGGCGTTACTTCATTTGACAGAGCTCACGTTTCAGGATAATTCAGATTACGAAATCGTTTAAGAAGGATTCAACTATCGTCATGGTGAGTTTTATCTTTACAAGTTTAATGTCGATTGGATCATCGGATACTCGATCGAAGCTGAACAGTTTACCAAACACATTGGTATTTTTTATACCTATCGACCTTGCGATGCTGATCAGTTTAATATCGTCACCGCGTTTCCTTATTACAGGAACGAACCATTAAAACACCGGCTCTTTTAGGAGCCACCACTTCTGAATAAAATTCAATGACCAATTTTGTGAATCTTTTTACAAGGGGTTCACGGTAGTGTAGGTACTATAGCGCACAGGTGAGTGTAAGCTATATAGATTCTAAGGTTGCTTGTTCAAAACCCCGCGAACCCTGAACAACGTTTTAGAACGTTTTTAGTCATGGCACATGTGCACCTTCATGGACATTTTATCTGTCCCACAACTTTTCATTTTCAAACTCAACCACAAATATAATCTCCCTTTGCATCCTATTATCTATAACAATGATTCCGTCAATGTTTTGCCGATCACGTCACGATGTTTCTCCGTTCTGAAGGTGCGACAGATAGTAGTTGCTTACAGTCAGATTGCGAAATGGTGTAAAACAATAGACTACATGTGCTGTATTTAAATTTTAGGGTGTGTTGGAAGCACGTGGAACAAGGCGAACAAATCAGAAAGATGGAGGACCCAAGAGAAAGCAAAATAAACCAATGAATGAGTAAAGGTGTGCTAGATATATGGGAAGAATGCTACAACGGAATTTCACTTAACAGTGTTAGTGAAAGTTGTGTGCAGGTCTAAATTGTGTTTCTACGCCAGTTGCTTACTAAGATGGCATTCTCACCCTTAAGACCTCTACCACCACTTCACAGAGAGCCCAGAGAGTCCAGATCTCTGGATAAATTAGAAGCATTAGCCCTGTTGGCTGTTCCTAATCCAGGTAAGGCTGCCCGGGAAAACCTGCCACCTTGCCACAGTGTGCGAATCAAGCTCGAAGCACGTGAATTTAAAGAGGCGAGACATGAAATTAAAAAAGAACACGAAAAGAAATTCTGGTAGGTCATGAAAGAATTCAAGTTGAATTAGTTTTGTGTTTCCGAACCACGCAGTAGCTCGTTTAGAATCAAACGTTGTATAGAATTACGCTACTAGTTTGCGATATTTGAATTTATGTTTTGCCATGTTCGCGCACGGTAGCCTCTATGAGAAGTAATGATGTTGTGTTTTCTTCTTGTAGACAAATGCTGCGTGATCTTAGATGTCTTCCTCTGTGCCCCTACACAGATTGGGTCTTTAACAACGTTGAATGCCATTGCAATATTCGTTTGGGAACTCTAAGATTATTAACAGACAATTTCATAAATTTTATGAATTATCGTGAATTTAATCCTGTCAGAGCATTCTACAATTTTGAACAAGTCTACAGAAATATTCCGTTTGCCGTGCAGTCGAAACATTTGCGGGTCAATTACCTTAACAATACCAAGATGGCGCTTAATCCCCTGAATGGAAAACAAGATGGCCACTTGATCACTTAATAGGAAGCAACATTTTCACTTAATCCCTTAAAACCGAAACCATGCACGGAAAAATATAAAAATATAAAAAGAAAACTTGAAGCGGAAGCGAAAAACAAACATGAAAGCGTTAGAGAAAGAAATGTTTGAATGTAAAAAACCAAAACGTGCAGTCGATCATTCAGTCAAACAATATGGAGGGTTAATTCATGTAGGGGCCAAACCAGAATTTGGGAAAAAATTTCAAGATGGTGGCCAAACAAGTGCGCAAAGGGCTCTGCGTGTGCTGGCCATTTCAAGGGTGGCTGCAAAAAGGCAGTTTTTCTTGGGCCTGGTACCAAATGCAGCTTACAGGCGGGCATTTTCAACTTGTTCGGCTCACAAGCTTTCCAATGGTGTGTCATGAAGCCATATTGGTTGTAGTAGCGGCGAATAATTAGAGCATGATTGGAGAAGAAAATACCGAACTTGACGTTCCTGAAGAGTCCCTAAGGTGAGGTTTTCCTTTGCAGTTTTCTTTGTTTGTCAAAGTTTATTTGAAAATCAAAAACCATACGATTTTAGTTTGACATCTGCTTGATATGTCTGTATATTTATTCCCACACTTTGTCCTCGTTTAACTGAAAAAAACCAATGCTCTTTTAGGGCACATTCAAAAAAACGCTTCCAATGGGACTGTACAGTCACCTTAGAAAGGAGCAAATGCATAATGAATTGCAAAAGAAATTGGATTGTGACGAGAAAATTAAAGCAATACGGGCTCAACTTCACCGTACAGGCGAGCGAATTCGCCATAAGAAATGGAAGGTAATTAGCTTAATTACTGAGGTAGCTAGATGTATGTTTAAAATCCAGCTAGTGTCAGGATTTAATGCATGGAAGCTAAGTAATAAGTTATATTTAGTCATTTTAGTCAGTCCATTACTCACTGGCCTCACTTTCTTTCTCTTTTACCCACTTCTAATTATTCATGTACTCTATGCATAAACACAGTTTAACTGTATTGAATTAAATTTACTTTCCAATTTTACCATTTATTTTATTTGTACGTCTTATTTAATGTTATATAATAAAAATATGTTATGGGTGAGAGAAAGAAGCCGTAAGTGATTTCTGATAAACTGTGTAATTCTCCTTTCACGTTGCCCTTGGTACAGTGCATTTCCATGTGAATAAAAGGAGAATTTTACATTACAACAAAAGTCACTTAAGGCTTTTATTCCATGCACCCCGTTTTTAAATTTATTATCCTACAGATTGATGAGGTGACAGGTCAGAGTGAATGTGAAGTAGTGGAAAACAAAAAGGCAAGACTCCCTCACACAACAAGTGAGCTTCATTTGCTGTCAAGTGAGAAACTAAACCTTTCAAGGGCACAGGCTATGCGAAGGAGAAGAAAAACCCTTGGAGGACTGAGGCCAGTTCATTGTGGGAGGAAGAAAATATCAAACCAGCCTGACAAACCTATCATGGATGGTATGTGGACTACACTGATAAACACTGCCCCCAAACAATGCATGAAAGAATACATTAGCAAAACAAAAACCTGTACAGATTTTATAATACCACAAATTGTACAGACCAACATCCATGAGTACGAGAACAGTTTGCGAAATAAAGTGAGAAGCATGCGTGTTCTGTATGAAGGTGGGCTTCTAAGCAGAAAAAAGTACACCAGTATTCGGAACACCATAGATGTAGTCAAGGAAAGTGGAAAAAATTGTAAAAACAAGAAAACTGAATTTATGAAAAATTGTGAAATTCCCAAGATTGTGTCTTACAAGACCTTGACAAGTGTTAGTCAAAGCATTGACGCTGGTGAGATGATTCATTTGGAGACATTTGCTGCCAGATTTAATGTTGAGGCATTTGCTGGAGTGTACAGGCCTCTGAAGCCATTTCTCTTACAGCTTGCTGACCTATATCTGTTTCTTGATGAGAGAGTACCTCGCCTACATTGGTTTAATGGGGAAAAGAATATTTTGTACATTGCTATTGGGGGAGATGGGGCTCCTTTCACAAGGAATGATACTGCGACTGGTAATTATATATCTTGTTAATAAAGCATAGGGCAATGATCATATATCTCCTTTGCCTTATTATTACATGTCTTACAGTGGCAGATCCAGACCTTCAAATAAGGGGGGGGGGGCGGTCTCAAAAAAATTTTTTTCGTCCCTTAGGGCCTTAGCCTGCGAAGCATAGCCTCAGTTTGGTCTAAAAATAATGGGGGGCCCTGGGCCCCTCCCTGGATCTCCCACTGTAATACATGTACGGTTACAAAAATTAATAATTACAAGCACTTCAAGTTGTTGACAGGTGCCAATAAATAGAAAGTCAGTTTTAGCATCATTGATCATTAAACGATTTCCAATAAACCAAGAGCAAACATCATCCATGCACTTTTCAATCACAGAGACAGCGTTAATTTTCGAATGGATAGAACAAGGTCGGAAGGAGAGGAAGTAAATCTGGGTGTCGTCAGCATAACCATGGACAGAAGGGAGGTGCTGAGAAATAATGTTAAGAGGCGGGAGACATAAAGAGTAAATAAAAAAGGCCCCATAGAACTGCCCTGGGGGACTCCACAGTTCAGATTGAAGTCGTCAGAAGTCTTATCACCGGCAAGTATACGTTGTTTCCGACCAGACGGAAACGAGTCGAACCAATTTAAAGCAGTTCCGACGACTCCAAAATCCTGTTGAAAGATATTCAGAAGAATGGAATGTTCAGTGGTATCAAAAGCAGCACTTAGGTCCAAAAGTATGAGAAGTGTCACTTCATTATTATCCATACTCATTAAGATGTCGTTTTGAACCTTTAATAGGGCAGTCTCTGTCGAGTGATACTTACAGAAGCCAGACTGAAATCTAGGAAGAAGGGCATTTTTCTCACAACAGACGAGAAGTTGTTGAAGTGCAGCCTTTTCAACTACCTTGGATATGAATGGAAGATTACTGACCGCACGGAAATTTTTGTAGACCAAATCAAGTCCAGGTTTTTTCAATAGAGGAATGACAACAGCGGTTCTCCAATTTTCACGAACGCAACCACTGAGAGGAGAAATATTAACCATCTCAGTGATAGAGGGCGCTAATACATCAAGACAGGACTTCACTAGCCATGTAGGAACAGGATCCAACCGACAAGAGGCATTGGAGGATTCTCAAAAAATTCTCCAGATTCCCCTTTGGAGTAACAGGAGAAAGTCGAGACTCTTGAACTTGAAACTTGTCAAGATTTTCCTTTGTAATTTCAATTTTTTTTAGGAAGAAGGTGCTAAATTCGTTTGCTAGCTTAGTGGGATCATCGTGCTCTGGAAGAGCTGTCTCAAGTGGTTCCCTGGACAAAGAGTTAACCACACAAAATAGCTTGCGAGAGTCACCTGCACATTGATCAATTAGGTTTGAATAATAATTCACACGTGCAGATTTAGGAAGTGCAGAGTACTAATTACGAACTTTATAGTAATTATTCCAGTCGCCAGGGAGGTCAGTTTTTAAGGCGTTCTTTTCAAGGCGACAACGTTTACGCAGAACTTAAGACTCTTCCTCCGAGAGAACAGCAAAAGCGTAACATCAGTTACGATCATGCACAGGCTGCTTTCTACTCTAAAATACTGGCTTCTATAAGCAGCATTCAGCGTAATACGCAACCATTGTACTCGCTCCAGGAAGTCACTAGCCTTTAGGAATGTGATAGGTTTCTTCGCCGCTTTTACCAGTATTCAACGTGCATCCCTTCGCGAATGTTTTGTCCTATGCGCCATTATGCTAATAATCTGCAGGAATGCTAATCTTGGGCCCGCACTAATTGTCACGTGACGGCCCCTGATGAACTCACGTGGTTATGCGTCCAACAGCACCATAGCCCATTTATATGTCACATGGGGGTATTTGGTTTGTTTCGGGCACTGTATCACCTTGTAACCCGAAAAAGCTGTGACCAACCACAAAGACCTGACTTATGTAACGTTTTATGCAAATCCGCCGATGCGATGACCGTTAATCAGCAACTTACGTGCGTAGTCAATGGAAAAGTAACGTATCTTGTCAAAACAACAGATCTCCTTAGTACAAAAATTAAACAATTAATTAGATCAATGCGGGATATGGACCATTCTTTTACCACCTGGAACCAACAGATCCGAACACAGTTTAAAAAGGAACAATGTCATTACCAAGTGAATATGGAATTTTTGTCACTCTATTCTCTTCAGGTGAACCGCGCCATGAGTGCCATGCTACGCTTAATGAAATTGAAGGTATTTTGTGCCAGCTGTCACACCTTACCCGCAAGACTCTAATTAGTTTTGCCAACTTACCGCGTTTTCTTACAATGGAGCTAAACATACGCTTAGCTGTGATACCAGCACTAGCTCATACTTTGGACGCCCTCAAGTCAGGATTTGCAACCATCATACAACCACTGGTTGATTACGAATTTCAACAACATAAGAAGCTACAACTAAATTTGCTATTTACACTGCTCAAGACTTCTTCCTCGAAATCTCTTTGCACTGTAGAACAATTGCGACCAATTACATACCAGCACAAAGGACATTGTCTTGGTGGACTGGTTTCTTTTGACGATTTACTATTGCTGACGTGTGATACCCAACGCTTTCTTCTTAAAGCACCGGAATTAGAAAAGTGTTACCAGGACGATACTACAATTTTATGTCCGGAAAATTTTCTTCACACAGTTCAACAACGGACGTGGCTTGGCTTACCCTGGACACCAAATTCTAAACTAGCTTTTCGCTAATTTCACAAACTTCGTTCGCATTGTCGTTATAAACCACTAATGCTGTTACTTAGGGGAAGTTATTTTTTAAGCACTGGTTTCCACAACCTCAACTTGTATTTGCCGGATTACACACAACACTTATCATTGTCTCCCTTATCAATTAGTCACGTCCCCTGAAACACATCTTTTCAATATCAAAAGGGGGGTTTAGGAACTTGTCCATCCACCTTGCAGTATTCAATTCCAGTTTTCCAAAATAATCACTTTACTTATGTTCCTTGGCTTAGTACACCTGCCTCTAATCTTAATATTCCCACCCCTAACGTTCCGGTTCCCTCCGACTTTACGTTAGACAACACTACTCTCATTTCCTTGGATCACACCTACAATCTTCTTGATCACTCACTCACCCAGCATCTCACAAAACTCAGAGAAGACATTTCTCACTTACAAACAGCCTCCACAACCACCATGAAAGATATTTTCACTTATCTAACATTTGCTTTAACAATAGTCAATTGCTTTGTTTTTGTGACAGTTTGCAAGATGAGATAATTTCAGCAGAGATTAAAACATCAATAAAAACTGACCATTCGGCAATAACCTTTTCAATTTGTGGCTTAGATGAAAGTGAGAGAGGACCAACTTTCTGGAAATCCAATTCGAACTTAGTAAATGACTCTGACTACTGTGAACTTTTAACCACGCACATCAATGATCGACACGTGGATATGGAAAAAGCACCGACAGTGAGTAAGTTTTACCTCAAGTTTAACTAAACTGCCACTCTCACGTTCCTAACCCGTAAAACATGGGCGGACAGAGAAGACTTTGTCATCATTGAAAGTGGATACAACACAGGGCATGCGACATACTATATGTATGTGTTTGAAATGAAGAAAGTGAAAGCAACTTATCCGTGGGGTTTTCCCGCGAAACAGATCTGCATCTACAGCTCATACAACCCGAAAATCGCAGACAAGTTCCGCATTATCTCAGCGTATTCCTTTTTGTGGGGATATCATAATTTCCTGAAGAAACGAAAACATGGCCTTTCAGCCTATTAAAGCCTGCAGGATGCTGTAGGTAAAAAACAAACGGCTCTTTTTTCTGGCCACCATAAATGTTAAGTCATTTTTCAGAACGTATTCACAACTCCTTTTGAAGAAATTTCCCCGCAAGAGCCACAACAAATGCCACTTCTGTTGCCACCACACAACAATAAAAATTTGTTTCAGCCACAATGACTTCAACATCAGGACACTCAAGCTATACTAGTTGGGATGCTACGGATGGGGAATGGTTATCTTGGGACACTGCTGATATTTTCCCTTTGACCAAGACCAATATTTTCCTGTGTTAATAGTACATTCAGTTTGTCCCTTATACTTTTTACCAGTTTATTTACCCTCGCTGAATAGGGATAAGGGCCTGGACCTTTAGTGTACCACCAATTTACAATCCTCTCTTTGGGATTCGCGACTCCCCCGTTATGCCACCTATTCACCTCACATCACAACACTGATGAAGTTTGAGAGATTCAGATGAAATATTTGTTTTGTTACTTTTGCTCCGAGCTTTGGAACTTTCTGTACTGAAAGTTTATTTACAATTATCATAGACCTTGCTTTATTTCATCTTCTGCACACCTCATTTAACTGATATCAAATGGAATACAAAATCAAGTACCACCTTTGTGAGTCAATTTTTTGCTTCATCCCTTTTACTGGTAGCCTATGCAACTCTTAATAGGTTCTGGTTACTTTGTATTTTCTTACTAGTAGCCTATGCAACTCTTAATATGTTCTGGTTATTTTGTATTCTCTTCTGCAATACTTTAATGATTTGATCTGAATTACTATTGCGCAGTTATACTACTATCACATGGCAGAAACTGATTTTTATCATTTTAAGCAACATGTTATCGTTTGTATTTTGCATTTTGGGTAACTTATAACAACCTCTACAAACACAACACCATGGCTGTGGCTTTTGAAACCGTCGATGTTATCCTGACTGAAGAGCAAGCTGAACATATAAATGTTCAACATGTGGACCAGCATCAACACATGAAAACTAGCAAGTTATTCCTATCGTTCAACCTAACAGCCACTCTGGGCTTGTTATCCCGTAAAACTTGGGAAGAAAGAGAAGACGTCACTGCTGGATCAAGGATGGAAACAGGGTC